ACCCAAGTCCCTTAATATATATAGAAAAAAATGATCTTTCAATCTAAGAGGATTTGTAAAAGATAACAATAAATAAAGAACAAATACCTTGTTAATAAACAGTGCTTGTAACAGATAAGACTACTAAAATACGTCAACTCAAGCTCTATCTTCTGGTCATTCACCTTGAATAGACTCATAGTTGTTTCCGTGTTGCATCACTTACCTTCTGAAATTTCTAATTCCCTCTCTTTTCCACTTCCTCATCCATTTGATGTCCCATACCTAAACCAAAGGAAAAAATAAAGGGTGTTTTTGAATGAATTTCCTTGCATCATGGTACCCTTTTTTTATTTTTATTTTTTTTCTGCAAACAGTAATACGGTGAGGCTATCAACTGTATCATAGCTGATAATCTTGAAGTTCGTGGATTTTGCAGGCAGCTAGTTTAAGAATTGCTGAGCAATATCTTCAGGCCTTTAGTATGATTGCAAAGGAGGTAAACCATGGGCCTTCATAATATTTATAATTTGATCGTAATCTAAGTTGACAATTTATACGGAAAGCCCATTATTTGTGCATTTGGTTTCTTCTTTCATTAATCTAGGGAACAACTATGCTGCTTCCAGCAAGTGCTTCTAATCCTGCCAACATGATGGCTCAAGCCCTTGCTATATACAAGAACTTAATAGGCAACAATTCTGGCAATGGGCTTCCCGAGGTTTCACAAGGTGGATCAACTGATGAAAACAAGAACGAAGATTCATCTTGGGCTGATGGCGATAAGAGTTCCACAGCTGCTGAACGTGCTGCCGCTGATCGTCCTGGAGAACCCGTTTTCTCGCTACAAAGCCCGAAGAAGGATAACTACTAAGTGATTCAACATCCAATTTCAAAACGCCCTCAAGATAGTTTCATTTTATTGATTTTATGGGGGCTAGAAAGAAATGCACAAGAATTGGCAATCATATAGAATTGGTGGCGTAGTCTTTTTGAGGAGGCAACACTGCCTGGAAGTGTAGAAAACGTGTCAAATATGAGATTCCCATATACATTTTACTCGGAGGTGCCCGCCCACAGATGCAAATCTGAAACACATCAGCGTCATTTTTTACTCTTAACAATTGTGCATTTCTTGATGATTTTGAAGATTTTATTTTATCATTGAGTAGTTATTTTTACCTACCAGCCAGAATTTAACAGTTAACGGCATGGCAATTCTTAGCATAAGCAATCTCAATGGATATAATGACGATGATAAGACACTTGAGAGAGAAATTTCAAGATTGAATAACAGAAAATTAGAGAAAGAATCTGAATCATATTTAAGCATTCCAAGAATGTCAGTAATAATCTGTCTTGCTCACGTATAAAATATAATAATTAGCTCGTAGCATATACAAATATAATCGAAAAATCCAGAAAAAATGTAACCTCAACAAAAAATCAAAGCAGCCCGAACAATACGAAGATTCCCAATAATATGAGCCAAATCATGTGAACCAGCAACAAGGCCTGGCCCATCGGGCTCGACCCGCCATTGCCTACCTCACAAAACCCCAATTTCTTCACGGGCGTCCCCGCGCAATGCGCATCTGCGCAGCCGCACCAGTAGGTCACCCCATCGG